CCCCCCAACTTCCAGGTCAACTCCTTCAAGGGGAGGAACTGGTGCCAACATAGGAGGAGGTCCTGCAGTTCCATCTGCAATAGCTGTTTCTGTTAGCAGCAGGGCTTCTTCCTCATTACAAGTTTCCTCTCCATCTTCATCACCATATGTGTGTCTGATTTGGCAGTTTTTTACATGCTTCTTTCTAAAATAGCAAAGTCAATAAAAGTATATTTTGTTTCCATTTGTTCCAACTCAATGTGGTGAACATCTAGTCATCTTGACTTCACTTTTGGCAAATAACCCATATATATCGCTGCACATTTTAACACAAGTTGTGCTTTCTTTCACAAGCTCACAGGATCAGTCAAAATACAGTAATAATATAAATTGAAGCATCTAAAAAGAGAAAAAATTGAGCATATGCTTCCTGCAAGAGTAGTTTTTGGTTGTTGGAATAAATGCAAAATATTACTTCTGTACAAACTACTATACAAATATTTTAGACATTAATTTTGTGTTCGTATTTTGCATGTTGTTTTGGTACAATAGTTTCTGCAGTTTGATTTGCGGTATGAAAGTTTTTCTTTAGCTTAGTGCTTGTTCTTCTGTCCTGTTGATTTTCAATCAGACCCGCTTCTTTTTTCCCTCTGTAGTCCTTTTTCTTTCCAAACGTTTCATTCTATCTTGGTTATCATTTGTACACTGCCGAGAAATAAGGACAAATTTGTCACTGTTATGTAATAATTTAGTGTATGTGTAATAGAGCAAAACAAAATGTCTGAGATGATTCACTGATTTATTTATTTAGCATTATATCACACATTCATAAAATATATAAGGCACTAAAATTTTGCCTGTACATGTAAACGAATAAGAACACTTACCATTTCTTGGATGCCATCAAGCAATGGCAAGCCCAGTCTTGAATACAAATCCACTATCCAGTGATAGTCGGGCCCTCTCTTCTTGAAGCACCATGTCATATTTGCCTGTATCAGACCCAAATTTGTCGATGCATAGTAGTGTTTCTGATGTAGGTTGACATCCTTAGCCCTAAACTTAGTAAGGACACTACATGTCGATTCTGGCAGGTTGGAGTGCCCCTTTCCCAACCCACGGTCAATGACTTTTTTTGCCTCCCTAGTCCTAGAAGAACATTCTATTTCATAGCACAGAGCATGAAATTCACACTTTAAAACATGGGCTGAATGGTATGCTTCCCCAGGGCATTTTAAATTTTCATAAAAACCATCCTCGTCGCTTGGGCATTCCTTACAACTGCATTTCTTTAGAGGATGAAACTGACAGGAACCACCTTCCCATTTGTGTATGTCACGGAAATGATATTTTCCCAAACACAGCATAGTCTCCCTATATTTATCAGGATCCTGTCCTGCCTGAACTAGTGCACAATAATGGTTGCGTTTTGCACTCTGAATAAACGCTGGGCTTATACAACCACATGATGGTTTATTGCGCGTGGCCACATAAGTGTGCTTCTTCCCAATACAGCAACACTTCATTTTCCCCATATCAGGGTAATCTTTTTTGTGGCTGTCAATAAATGCCTTGCTGAATGAACTCTTGGCCTGGAGCTCAATGAGCTTCTTCCCATGGGCCCTCCCCACATGCCCCCCCGCACAACATTACTCTGGATTCTTGCTCATTTGAAAACGAGTATCGGAATCCTTTCGCTGATGATGAGTCAGCATCCTGCCAGTTAACCTCCACCTTTAGCCCCTCTTCTTTTGCTTCTGCCCACAAAACCTGGGCTAAATGCCCCTCTGCAGCTTTCGATGTACCCTTCCACAAATCTTCTTCGCATATATTATCAGCCCCCCTCATTGATAAATGACCATAATAGAGCAGTCCACCTGTCAAGTAATTTTTTACCACAAAGGTACAGTTCTGGCTAAAATGACCTTGGATCTGCCAACAACCATTGCAAGTTGTGACAGCACAAGACCAACTCCCCAACTGGTCTGATGAAAGGGCTTTCATGTATTCCTTCTCCTTCTCACACATTTCATCAAGGATGTCTCTGATGTGAGGGAAAGCAAGATCAATGACATCCAAAAAGAGCTTATCTGATATAACACCCCAACCCAACCCCCTTCCCATTGTTTTTCTGTAAGACTCATAGCCATGCCCACTTATAAAAAAAGCTACGGATAGGGCTAAGGACACCAGTTGATGCTGTGACTCCAGAGCAAGGTGACTACTCTGATAATTGATAGTTTCTTGCCAACAGCCATTGCAACTAAACAAGAACTTCATTGCTCCACCAAGTCCTTTCTTTTCACTGGCCACAAGGACAAGCTTTCCTGAGACAAAATATATAATGAGAAAGGAATGTAACTACTGGCTGACTGGACATCAAAAATGAAACTGGGTCATTCCACAACTTCACATTCTACTGCTCTGAATTTAATTAAATTAATAATATGCGATAATATTCTTACCTTTACATTTACCATTTCTTGGAAATATGTGTTGAACTGGTCAACTAAACCTATTATGCTTGATGTTGTCCCAAGGAACAATCCTTCAGGAATGTTTAGCCTAAAATGAAGGGAGAAATAGTATTGTAAGATTAGAGTTCACTATGCATGTGAAGATGTGAAGACGGCAAGGTAGGAGAGACATAAATATGAAAGAAAGTTGTTTCTCATCAAATATCGCCCACTGAAAGAATATTGTAGACTAGCAATTCTAAAAGAGAAGATAAGTGCTGCCTCCCTCAGAAACCAGAGCCAAGACCATCATTGACTTTTTACACCACCAGCAATACCTATATAAACAGTGTATTTTTGACTGGTGACGTGACTCTCAGAACAGACGGTTACAAGCCACATTACTAAGAGGCAAAACTTGCAGAATACCCGGCCCAGCCATAAGCATCTCACTGAATAAGAATAGCAACTATTGTTACATACCTTGTTCTTCAAAACACACTGACACATGTAAATAGCTAGGCCGGGTATTCTGCAATCGCTCCGCAATAATCATCGCCCAAATTTAAAAGTAGCTTTGTTATTTCAATGCAAGATGTTTTCATTTAATAAAATCCAAAGATGTTTTGAACATCGTAAACAAAAATACTTCTACGATTTTGTCATATTGTCCACTGATTTTGCTTCATAGCAATGTTTGACACCTACTTGCGAATATTTATAACCTGCAACTGTAAACTACAAATACAGACACTGCTCTCGCTCTGTAATAAATACTTTTAAAAAGACTTCAAATTTGCGATTCGTTACTCACTCATATTTCACTTCATCCGAACGAATTCTTTGCTTCAATGGTGGCTCATAATAAGGGTCGTCCGAATGTTTGTCGGTCGGCTTTACAGTTGCAATCCCGGTCTCTTCGGTCGTTTTGCTGGTAGTTTCATCTTTCAGAAAACGATGTAAAGTTCCTTCAGAATCCAGCTTTCGTTCTGCTTCTCTGGCACTTTTGTCTGCGGCCTTCTGGGTCAATGAAAGTTAGAAGCCGCTTGTTTCCAAAGTCCCTCGAAACAACACTCCAGCCATGTTTCTCCAGCTTGTCTGAGTCCAACCATATTCTCAAACCACTTCCCGTGCCTCGCAAATCGTGAAGGGTTTTCGACCAGCCTGAATTCGCTTCACTGGATGCCATAGATAACTTTCTCTCTTGCTATAAATAAAATTCTCTCTTTCTGTAAATAAAATCCTCTCTTTCTGAATATATTTCTCTAACCCGGTATCTGCGTTTGCCAATTTTCCTCAAGCTTCCAATATCAACTCCCCACCGAGTGTGGTGAACGAAGGTGCCATTGCTAGGGGAAGGGATTATCTCACCTTCCCATTGGTTTCACGGGAAATAATCTTGACTCAAATATGGGCATCATGGCTTTATTTGGAGGGATGTAATGCATTTTACAGCTGGAAATTGTAATTGCAGACACTCCAAACATGGCTGCCATCTTTCGAAAGAGAAAACGATAGATGGCGAGCAATTTGAGGAAATTTATGTTGAATTTGAGGATGTTTCGCACTCATGGAGTACAACATTAAGGCACATTTATTGAGTTTTCTTCAGAGGGATTTATAGCAGAGATTACAAACTTTGCAGATGCAAACTACATACAAATACGAAAATATATGCCGCAGTACGCACTTGGAAACAAAATTGTAATCATGTGACAGGAATGCACATTTTTCGAAAGTATTTTTTACATTTTTTTATCTTTCCAACTTATCTAATCAAAATGAAAAGGTGTACTGTGGTGAAATGTTGTATTTTATCCCATTTAAATTGGGTAGCGAGTCTAAGGGCAAAATAATTCATTCCATATTAGATTTGACCAAATTTGTAAAAATTATAAGAAATGACCACACCCTAAATATCTTGAATTTTACAAATTCCTTAAACTACTAGGGAAGAATTTTTTTTCAGAAACTAGCTGAAAAAACTAAGAAGTCATGTGGAAACAACTTCACTCTCATTAATATTGTTTCTGATACAGCCCTCAAAAGAATGCCCCAAATCGGCCAAATCCCCCAAATCCTCTTTGTAATGTTTGTTGTGATGCTGGTTTGAGGTGCGCGGCGACTTTTGTATGTGGCAGTTCTGCAAAGCCGTGCAGAAACAATAAAGAATCTGTGCCTGCTGCGAATTCTCCAGGCAATACTGCAACAACTCAACACCCTAGCAGTGCATTCGAAAGGCACCAGTTAACCCTTGAACGTGAAAGAGAAAGTATCCAGGTAAAATGTGTGCCATAATTCAGTGTACTGGTGTAGCTAGTGTTGTCAAAGTTGTGATGAAAATCCTAATATTGTACTTATATTCCTACTGCCCTTGCACCAGTTTCATAGTCAAGTTTAATAGTTTTTAATGCACCTCGTCTAATTTACGTTTTTATGCCGGAAACATTTTGTATCGTGTCTTAAAATTCAATCCCCTTTGTAATATTTTATCTTCTTGCTGTCGTTTATAATTTCTCTGAGGTCTTTCCTTGTTGAACGAAAACTTTTATCCTCAAGTTATAATTCACTCACTGTAAATACCACCTTCATTTCAATTTATTTCTGTTTGAGTACCAGTTTGCTCAAAAATCTTTCAATACAATAAAAGTAAAACAAAAATGAATTCGTAGCACAAGCCTAAACTATCGCAGCATACAAACCCCTGACCACATAAATCATCTGCTTTGGACTTCACACTAGAGATGCATTTGTCAGGTCTAAAGTACTTTTTTTACTTATCAGGTTTTCATTGAATCACTGACTGTGGATCAATGCAACAGACTTCTGCTTGAAATGTTATGCACGGGGAGAGGAAGTCTTGAATATGCAAGGCAGCTGGTGAATAGCGAGGACCCTGAACCTGACAGACCAATGGGTGAAGATGGCTCACCAGACTGGTGTGTCTGCAATGTCTGTGTTGATATGGCCAGCGAAGAAGAGAACAAATGCTGTGGTAAGAGGTCATGTGTAACCTCATACGAGATGTTCAGGAATGTTGTTTTGGACAGGGAAGTCCTCAATATAGCTATCTGGGCACGGTGTGACATAAGAGCAGAAAATGCTGACTTTGAAATGAACAGCTATCGCAAGGCTGCATACAGGCAATACATCCTTTGGAAATATGGAAAGTTGGGCAAAGGCAATCGGAGAGTTTGCCCATCTTGTGTTGTTAGACCAGTGAGACAAACATATCCTGCTCCTGATGGGGAATATATGGGATTCAGAAGACACTGAACAGCAATAGTTCTTCTAAAGCCCTTATA